GACTAGGGTGGGACATTAGGACGGGCAAGGAATTGTTTTCCATGGCTTTGATCATGTCTCTCCTTGCCTAACAGGTTATCATGGCTCCTTACTGTGAGGAAGTATACTAAAGTCATTTAATGTTTGGGTATTGGGCCAAATATGGGACTATTTGAACATCAAAATAAATATGGTAACAGATTATAATCCTGTATTCAAGGACCCCCAAGACCACCCTCACTTTCAATGATTTGCTACAAGGACTCATAGATCAGAGAAGTTGTTATACTGATGGTTATAGTTTGTTACAGTAAAGAACACAGATTAAAATCAGGACTGGAAAAAGGCATATAGAGCAGAATATAATGGAGACCAGATGCAATTATGCAGTTGTCCTCTCCCAATGGAGTCCTGTGAACATTATCACGTGAAGTATTGCCAACCAGGGAAGCTCACTTGAGCTTTGGTGTCCAGGGCTTTTATTGGGCATTGGTCATACAGGCATGGCTGACTGCCCTGGTAGCTGACCCTAATTATTCAGCTTGTCCAGATGTCAAGCTGATATTGTGTGGTCCAAAGCCCTCACCATAAATCACATTGTCAGCATAACCTATCTGGTGTGGGCCAAGGCCTCAGGTAAACAAAGATACTCTTAACAGGCAGGATATTCCAAGTGCTTAGAAGTTATTGCCCTAAAGCCTGGTGAGGGCCAAACCTTCCTTTGGAATGTACAAGGTTTGGACAACCTGGACCTGCTAAGTTAATCCTTCTGCACAAACCCATTGAATAAAATAAGAATCCATGAGTCTATATTGAGATAGATAGATAGATAGATAAGGAAAAGTCGCTTCTTATAGAAGAATAATAACTAGTGATGATAGGAGGAATGATGGAGTTAGAAAAATCACTATTTGGCAAACATAATAATAATCACTTCAAGCAAAAATCATCAATGGATGCTATAGTGAGTTGATTGGTGGTTCTCCAAAAGATATGTCCATGTCTTACTCCTCAGGACATGTGAATGTGAGAAAAGGGTCTTTGCGGATGTAATTAAATTAAATATCTTGAGATGAGGTCACCCTGTATTACCCAGGTGGGCCCTCAATCCAATGACCAGTAGTGTTCTTATAAAAGACGGAAGAGCAGACAGACATACAGAGGACAAGGCATTGTGAGACAGGGGCAGAAATTGGAGTGATGTGGCCACACATCAAGGAACACCACCAGAAGCAGGAATAGTCAAGGAAGAATTCTCCAATAGAGCCTCCTGGGAGAGCACACAGCCCTGCAGATATCCTGATTTCAGACTGTCTTCCAGAATTGTGAGACAATAAATTTCTGTTGTCTTAAGCCATCCAGTTAGTGATAATTTGTTGCAGCAGCCACAGGAAACTAACACAGATGCTAAAACCAATGGTGAAAGAATGAGGCCTCAGGAATTTACAAAGTCTCAACATACCCACAAAATACTAATTAATTATAACGGGAAATACAGTAACTCTTCAATGAAGACACTTGGCAATAGCTCTTTAACCAAGCTTATTTGGTTGTCGAGTTAAACATAGATGGTTTGAAGCGTCACTTGCATCATCATTAATTTATATTAACATGCATGATTTGGGGAGTTACTTAACTTCATTAAGCCTCAATTTCCTGTAAAATGGGAATAATAATTACCAATACCCACATCTTAAGGGTATTTTGAGGATTAAATGAAGCAATCCATGTAAAGCCCATAGCACAGGGTCTAGCGTATATGTATTCAATACATATTCTGATAAGAATAGCTATCACCTACAGAATGAGGTTTAAAGTTCCTGTAATATATTCAAGGAGATAAAAGATACACTCAATGAAAGACTTTATGATCAGGCCACACCCCTATCTTTCCAGCCCATACTTAAATTGTGTGTCATTCCTAGACCTCCTGGTCTCCAATCACTCAATCCTGCTTCTTCCAGACCTCTGATCAGCTAAGCCATTCCCCAGAGCCCAACAGTCCATCCATATCCACAGCTCAGACCACTCCCTCTACATAAAAAATTGATCAAAGATGCTTCTTGAAGCTCTGCTCACTGGGAGGAATGTCTCATCACTGTCTTTCAGTGACACCTCCCAGCGAGGCTGTAGCTTCCAAAGAAGCAAGCTTAAATGCAGCTCTTCTGACTCCATTGCTATCTCCCTGGGGGGTATGACAGGCAACTGAGAGGGCAAAGATGATTGACAGGGTCAAGCTTTGGAGACTGAGAAAATGATAGTGGGACTTAACTTCATTTCTGATGTTTTAACTTAATTTCTTTTTTTTTAATCTTTCAAATGTTTTATTATTTATTATTATTATTATTTTTGCAGGCGGGCATAGCCCACCAGTCTAACAGGCAACCTTGTTGTTAGGAGCACGTGCTTTCACCAGCTGAGCCATCCTGCCACCTGTTGGCAGCTCAGTGGCAGCTCAGCTCAGGCGCAGTTCGGCTGCAGCTCACTGGCCCATGTGGGAATCAACCAGGCGACCCTGTTGCTCAGAGCTCTCACCCCTAAGCAAGCTCTATAACCAACTGAGCCACTCGGTTGGCCCTAAACTTAATTTCTGACATTGACCTAACGGGCAGAAAATGGGGCTGCCTTGGCAAAGACAGAGCTTATAGTTGCATCCAATGCCAGAAGAGAAAGGAAAAATGGAAAACTAAGGCACCCCTCCCCCAATCAACCGAATTCCTGTAAACAATCCCCTGATATTCGTGAAACCACAAACTTGACCTTCTTGGATCTTTCTAATTAATGGTTGGTCTATTTGTAACACTGGAATATATAGACTTACTGACTACATTTCTAGTCAGGCAACCCCAAATTCTGCATTTTCCCACAAGCTAATAATCAAGGCTGCCTCAGTGGAGATAAAGTCCCATTGCTCCCTCCCCTAACAGATTGTCTCCATTACCTTAAAGCAAGTTGCTGAGCCCTGGGCCTCAGCTTCAACAACAAAATTAGGATGATGAACTACTCAGTCTAACTGCAAGCTTCCTACCAACTGAAAATACTTACTGATTTTTTTAATGGGACGGGATAAAGTTTGGGAAGTGTGGAAAGACTGTTCATGGACATATTCTAAGGCATCACTATGTCCTAGACAATAAACTCAGAAAGGAGATAGGGGTGGGGATAGAGGAAAGACTCCTTAAGTGTAGGATTTTGATTCATCTTGCAACTAAGCTGCCTTTGATTTAACCAATTTTCAAACCCTGTCCCCAGTTTTAGAATTGAGATAATAGTAGTGGTTTGTTTAGAAGGGAATATATAAGTGACTAAATGAAATTTCTGAATGGGTATTTTTAAAATAGTGTAAGTATTTGTTCATTCAATAAATATGTATTTAGAGACTACTATCATGCAGACATAGCACTAAGTGCTGGGGATACAAGGATGGATTAAATACAACTCCTGCCTTTAAGGACTCATGATATGTAAGGGAAAGAAACAGATATACAACTAATTGTAATGCAATTTGGTAGTGTTTAATATAAGCACTATTGGGCAATTGAAAAGGAAGCAATTGATTTTGCTTTGGGAAGTTGGGGGAATGCCATGGAAGACAGAATGTTTGATGTGGATCTTGGAAGATGAGTAAAAGTTCCACAGGCAAAGAATGGAATGACCATTTTTATTTAAACAAGAACCACATGGCTCCTTGTAGACTTTTGACACTGTCTAGATCGGACTTAAAGCAGCTTAGCCGGGGGATTATTTAAAAGAGATCATGAAAAGTTTGCAGTGTTGGGAGCAAATTTTCAGTAAGGAAGAAGACATTCGTCAGATAGCATCAATTTTTCCAAAAGATTTAATGATATTATTTGTAGACATGTTGTAACATTGGAAACACAAGTGTATTGATTTAAGGTAAACTAAGGACATTTCACTTAATGGGCAAAAGAACATCATATATGGTGACAGTAATATATTTTTTAATTTTTAAATACTCACTAAAAATTTCCCTTAATATCTTTTTCTGATTTATGTGACATAAACAAACTACATAATGGTGTGAGGTACTATAAAGGTTTTACTGGCACTTGTTTGGTATTGCCTGCATAACTCACTCTGAGTACCAGTTGAGAGTATCTCAAACTAAGTGCCATAAAACATTTATAGCATGCCACTCCACTTCCTACACTTTCCATAGAGACAAGACTTTAGTGCTCACAAAAGTACTTATAAATGTAGTAGTCAGTAGTGAAAACTTTTAAATTTTAGATTACAGACCTCTAGTTGCAGTAAGAAAAATAAATGTTGTAAGAAAGATTTATGTTACTTCTCTGCAGGATTTTATTTTATCTGGCAAATTCCTTCCCCAAGGAAAACCACTTTTCAAAGATATCCTCAGTAAATGCATACTGGAATTAACATAAAATTGGCCAGGTCACGTGTGTCTACACGTTTGAATTCATTTGCAAATAACCACCACTCACTTCCTTGCTTCCCCACCCAGGGACCAGACTCCAAGCATCACAGGTGCCGAGAAAGACTTACAAAAAGGAATGAATAGGAACAAAAGGATGTAGGAGCCAGGAGGAAAACAATCTCCCAGAACAAAATTAGTCTCAAAAGGAATAGCAGATCCAATACCAGGTATTATGGAAGTTTAAACTGCCTTTACTAGGTCTTCTACTATGTTGGCCTGATTCGTTTAAACCTTTATGTTAGGCTTATCTTGAGGGATAGATGTCTGTGCTAATAAGCACATGAAAGGTATTAAACCAAATTGGTTTTTAAGGGTGGTGACGAATAAATATAAACTTCACTGGTATTTTTAACTTTTACTTTATGCCTTAAGGAACAAACGATGTTTTCTATGATCCCTAAGTTTCAGTACTAGAGTAGAAGAAACAACTCATATACAATAGAAGAACCTCAATCAGTAAATTACCCCCACCAAACAGCTTGGAGGTCACATAGGAAATATTTGGGTAGAGAGTCTTGCTGAAGTTCCAAGTCTCAAACAGAACACCCACACAAAGTGTGCATAGTGAGTTTAAATTTATTGTCAAGTCATCCAGATGGTAGATGGATCAATCAATGAAGAGGGAATATTTATCTTGGGATCGAAGATTCTGAAATCCAAAATGAGAACACCCCCAAGGTGGGGGTGGGGACAGTTAATAAGAGCCCCTGGGAAAGGTCCTTTTAACGAGGATTGGAAAATGTTTTAATTTGAATCTCTTTGAATATAAATCTCCCCCTAACAGCAGGAAAAGGGTCCCCCAGCCGAGCAAGCTTTGGGCAGGAAGGGAGTAAACGGAACTGTAAAACAGCCCGCTCAGCTGTTTCTGGTTTGGGACTCGGATCAGAGAAAGAAATCGCGATGTGGGAACTGAGTATTTGGGCCACTCAAAATAATTCCAAGGGTCAAATAACGAACTCCAGGCAAAGCGCTGACAAGCCTCCCCGCTTTGTACCCCGCTACGTAGGGTTTCCGCTCAATTTCCCCTCCCTTGCACAAGGCGAACAGCAGGCGCGGCCCCTTCCCACGCGGGGTGCGGCGAGCGCGGACAGCTCCCCTTACAGCAGCGGACGGCGGGAAGTCCGCGGCCCGCGGGCTACGGCTGACGGGCGCCCCTCGCGTCCCCGGAGCTGGCTGGGCCGGGCAGGCCTCGAGCCTTCCCCGCCCCGGCTGGCCATTAAGAGGCGGCCGGTGTCGGCGGAGGCCCGTGAGCAGCGAGCGCGGGGCGCCGAGGGGAGGCGGGGCGAGCCCGCCGGCGGAGGGGGGCGGGAGGTGCATCCTGGGAAATCCACCAACATGGGGCGAAGCCGCCGCCGCCGCCGCCGCCGCCGCGAGTCCGGGCCGCGGATGCCGCCGCTTCCCTGACGCCCAGTCGGGCCCTCGCCGCGCGCCGCGGCCCGGGTTCCGCAGCCACAGGCTGGCCAGCGCGCCCTCCGCCCGTCAGCCAGCCGAGGCCATGTGAGGGGGCAGCTCCCTCCGCCGCCGCCTCCTCCTCCGCCACCGCCGCCGCCGCCGCCGCGTCCCATTGGCTCCACCGCCCCGCCGGGCCCCGCCCCCACAGGCGCGCGCGGCCCAACCGCCCCTAAGGGAGAGAGAGCCGGGAGAGGCGGGGAAGGCGCGCGCGGGCGCGGAGGAGGGGAGCAGAGCACAACCGTTGGGAAGGCCTGCCGGCAGGCGGAGACAGAGGCGACACGGCGCGCGCAGCAGATGGGGCCCAGGAAAGGAGGGGCCAGTGAAAGGGAGAGGCGGGGCTCCAGGAGGGAGGGGGCGGTGCTCTGGGAGGCCTAGGGGGACGGGGTTCAAGGAATAAATTTCAATGATACTACCGCGTGTGACTAGGTCAACTTTTGGCCCCGCCCCCTGGGTGGTGATCAATTGCCAATCTTCTTTTTTTTTTTTTTTTTAATTGCGTTGTGGAGGACGTTGCTTCACTGGCCCAAGTTGG